TTCTGGAGAAGAAGCTGCGCAAAAACGAGCGATTATCCCCGGAGTCTGCTCACTGTGCTTAATGGTGCGGTGGAGAATTTTACAAATGACTTCTGCTGCCAAGTGTGTAAGAAGAGGCAGATACAGAGAAAAGCTTATTCAGATGCATTTGACCTGTTCATACAGCACAAATTTTCCATGCCTGTTCACTCATTATTAGATTAATGCCACATCTACAAGCACTCTAAACCGTTTTATGCTCTGAGAGCTCATTTTTGTGATTTGTCGGTTGCTGTAGTCCTCGGGGCCGGAGATGGGTCAGATGGAGTGTCCAAGATGTGACGCCTGCCTGTGTGTGAGAAAGGTGTAAGACATGAGTGAAAGTGTGAAGTGTGAGACCTTCATCCTCTGGTTGGCAGTGTGATTTCTCTGCACAGTATATTGTTAAACACAGGGTATATAAAGGGTGAGCTACTTTGGTAGGAAGTGGGATTGTGTATGCTTGGTGCTTATGTCTTTCCCGTGACCCCATTATGCCAGTAGGAGGTAGTATGGCCTTTGTTCTTGGGGTTTGGTGGTGATGGGGTGTCTTCTCCTTAGCCCTGAGCCTCCAACCTCTTGCTTCTCTGTAGTCTGCACACTAACAAGGCGCACAAAATACCCACAAACATGCACATGTGCAAACTGGAACACATGGCACACTTCCAGGAAAGTTACACTTAAAAATAAGTTCCAAGAATCAGAAAGATTTAGTAATTTGATATGTAGGTGCTTAAAAGCAGCAGATTTGGTGGATTGTGAAAATGCTTGTGAAAAATTGAATAGCATAATATATTCATATGTACAATACCGTTGAAAAGTTTGGTGTCGAAAAGTCTCTTATGCTCACCAAGGCTGCATTTATTTGATTAAAATTATAGTAAAACCACAATATTTTGAAATATTATTACATTTTGCAATTTTAAAATATTTTAAAATGTAATATATTCCAGTGATGGCAAAGCTGTATTTTCATCAGCCATTACTCCAGCATTTAGTGTCGCATGATCCTTCAGAAATCATTCTAATATGCTGATTTGATGCTTAAAAAACATTTCTTATTATCAATGCTGAAAACAGTTGAGCTGCTTAATATTTTTGTGGAAACTGATACTTTTATTTGATGAATAGAATGCACGCACACACACACACACACACACACACACACACACACAC